CTCTCTCCTATTGTAAAATCCTCGAGCACGAAGCCTTTTTGTTATGGTTTTAACTAAAACGTTCACACCTGTAGCTGCCAGAAGTTGTCTTTGTAGCTCTGGATGAGAAACATTGGGATTTATTGTAGTAATTTGGACCACAAGGCGGTCTTGTTGTTCAGTTGTGACTCTTTGACGACTTTGTCTGGTCCTATCCTTGTGTGTTTCTAATTCCAAGTTCCTTGCATATGTTTTCGATACAACACCCTGGATAACGCCTACTATCTCTGCTACGTCTCTCTGGAGCATTCCTCGTCCGGTGAGAGCATTAAGTCTTCCTCTCAGTACATCTGTTAATCCAACATAAGGCATTTTTTAATTTTTTTGGATTTAATTAAAATTACGGGACAATCGTGATTTTACTACTGAACACAAAAATCAAAAGAAAATAAATCGCAGGAGTCGTTTATTCTTTATTATCATGTTTATTTACAACAAAAAGCCTTATCTTAAAGTCGTATACCAATTTTCATCCTTACAAGAAATTTAATCAGAAATAAAGTGATTCCATATAAGTTTGGTTGTGTGTACATTTTTCCTTAGGTCATATTGAAAAACAAGTAACGGATTTTAAAAACGCTACAAATGTTTATAGAAAATATAAAAACTTAATCGAACTTATATTACAAACGTATTATTCAGCCGCACGAATCGGAAGACCGAGTTTGAGCATATTCGAAAGCTGCGGAGATATTGAAAAGCTCTCTCGACTGGAACGCACTTCGCTGTTGTAACCGTTAAAAGCCCCATTTCCAGTAGGCAAAATCGATGTCTACTAGTGGCGTACACTCCGTCTAAAAATAGCGCCATCGGGCCGAAAGAAGTCCGCCCTCGGCTAGGGCAGAGGCTAATCGACCCCCGCCAACGGCCGGCTCGGGCCTGTCGCACCTTTGAGCCCTTTTCAGACACCTCCAGATGCCAGACAAATTGCTTTCCTGGATCGGGTTCTGATTGAGGCTTTCAGTGGCTCGCTTTATTTCCTCAAATAGGGGCGTAGATACTGGATAAAATATATAATAAGAATAATGACATATCCATAGAAAAATAGGTTGACATAACTCATCATTAGGTTACGAAATTAACGTAACATTGACATTTTTCATCGTTTTATCCACATTTTACTATTAGATACCTGAGAAATTGCGATGCTGCCAACGCGTATCCAGAAAAGATTCGCACGGCAAGGAGAATAACAAAATCTACTGTTTAGCGGAGATGATTTAGTTTTGGAGATGCTGAACTCTTCCGATTTTCACGATTCTTTTAGAGGTTTTACCGTTAGATTTAAAGCTTCTCGTTTTTCTCCGAAGTATGTCTACTTTAAGAATTAGCCATTAAGTTTTAGTTTGACTGTATTTGATATGGATACCCGTTTCCAAGTGATTCAGTAGTGATGGGCAAAACTGTTATTTTTAGATAACAGTTAAAACTGTTACAGTTATTTATAAAAAACAGCTTAAAATGACAGCTTAAAAATAACAGGTTTCTTTATTTTATTGCTAAATATCTGAAAGAGTATGAGGCGGTCACCGCCAGGCGTATTAACGCAGTTACAAGTTCCAACAATGACGTGCTCGGTGGTAGTATTTCCAGGGTGTTAAAACATTTCTAAATATCGATTGTTATCTAAAATACCTCTCTAAAAACGGTGGTTGTTTACAAATAAGCGCTGTTTACAAATTGCGATGTAAAAAAAGCCAAAATGCCGCCACTCGTCTATAGCTATACATTCCGATCTACCTACGCCCTGCCCCTGAATTGCGTAGCAGTGTACAGGGTGCATCTCACTCGACGGGCGAGAAGCTCTTAGTTATGATTTTACCATTTGCGGTCAAAAAATAGCAATATAAGAAAATTTGTAGTGTATTCTTCATAAGTAAACCAACTACACACTAGACTTCAAAATAATTTTACACTTAAACTAGCGTGTACCCGCGACTTCATTCCCGTCGAATTAATAATTTGTAATGGTGATGATAAAGCAAAGCAAGAATTTCCATTAACATACAAACTGGATAAAATTTTCTCACATTTGCCAAAAATAAGCATTAAACGTCGAGCAGTTTAAGCAGAATCGTGGTTAATCAATTACTCAACTTTTTGGAACACCCTATATGATTTTTGAAAAAATTTCAAAATATGTAAAAAAACAAAATAAATTATTTCCCGTTTTCCCGAAAGACCAACCGTTTTTTAAATAACAAATATTGTAATAAAAAATCAGCTTTAAAAGTCAAGCAGTTTAAGCAGAATCGTGATTACTCAATGGTCATATTTTATGAAACACCCTGTATATACATATTTTTAAAAATCTTAAAATATGTAAAACAACAAAATAAAATATACGTGTTTAAGAGTTTTTTCCGAAAAACTCACCGGTTTTTAAATAAAAAATATTCTAACATTTGAGGGTGGTTTCACCCCCTTAGAGTTCGAGTTTCGAAAAATCCCTTCTTATCGAACCTCTACACCCTAAAGTCAATCCGTTTTCCAAAAATCAGCTTTTTACGTCAAGTGCTTTAAGCAGAATCGTGATTAATCAATGACCAGATTTTTCAAAACACCCTGTATACATTTTTAAAAAATCTTAAAATATTATTTTGAAAATTTTTCAGAATAAATAAATACCTAAATATTGAAACTTAATAACGTACTGAAACAGAGAGCGCCATAATATCCCGACCTCCTCCCATTATGCTCGTAACAGGTTGAAAAACAATGTATCAAACAACTGATGCGTTATTCTCCAACCTGTTTCGAACCTCCATCGACAATCGACCGATGCAGCAGCGTTACTTTCCCACTCCGATTATCTCGACCGCCGCTCTGTTATGCTCGTAACAGGTTAAAACAACGTATCTAAAATGACTGCTTATTTTCTATACGTTATTCTCCAACCCGTTGCGAGCCTCCATCAATAATCGACCGATGCAGCAGCGTTCCTTTCCCACTCCTGTTATCTTGACCGCCAGGCGTTATGCAGCAACTGTTTCAAAAAAGCTGCTTCTTTTATATCCTATTATTTTTAAGCTGTTGCAAGCCCAACACGACCATCGACGGCATCGACCGATGCAGCTACGTTCGGCGCGCCGCTCTGTAGCGCATACCCCACTCCGTTGTCCGTTGCATCTCGCCGCCTGTATCGATGGTTGTCGAAATAACATGTTTTCCATCCATACTAGTTGTTTTTTGGAATTGCTTCGAGCAGCATCGAATTTCATGGCGGTGCAGAGCGCCGACTTCGTTTCACGAACGGTCGATCTCTGCGTATCATTATTTTATATCTGTTATTTTTTAAAAGTAGTAACGGTTGCGTTATGTTATTTCTAAATAATTGTTATAAAATAACAGATAGTTAAATAACAACTCATCACTAGTTTAAGGTTCATACCAACTAAACTTTTAGTCACGTGATTGAGCTTGCCCGGCAGAGCGTTGCCCACTTCAATATATTTTCTTTTAATCAAAATATTTTAGAAAACAAAAATAAATTAATTATAAATATATAAACAGTGATTATTTACATCAAGGGTCATTTCTACCGCTTTCCCGTTCAAAATATTGTAATAAAGTTGCTATGAGTTTTTTACGGCTATTAAGCTATCTTGTACACTTTGCACTAAAAAATGTTCGACTGCAATGTCTGCTAGTAAACATTTTTAAGCTTAAAATATCACAACACTATTTATTTAAACCAAAACTCGTAATACAAAACTAAAGTGTCAAAACGAATGACAATGTCAGGTGATAAATAAATAAATGCGGCAACTTGACATTTTTTTATAGCAGAGCTACCACCTGAATCCCCAGCGCGAAATTTAAATTCCAGTTAGTCAGCACGGCGACGAATATGTCCATGGTTAGCAACAATGACTTTAAAAATTGCGCCCTAGATTACGGAACTCAAAGTTTAATTGATATCAAATCCAAACTCAGAATATAACACCCTGTATATTTCTGTGAATTTCTAAAAAATTCTAGATCTGCTTTAAACGTTTTATTACCAAAATAATATACTTCTTTTTTCATATAAATATATTTTCATCGTCATTCGCCCGGTAGCATAATAAATAAAAATATAAAATGCGTCAGCTTACAAGACAATTTTAAAAAGAAAAGAAAATATCAGAAATTCAATTTTCTACACCGACTAGAATATAAAACGGATACGAGTTGGCAGTGCGGAATGATGTAAACCAATATCGGTTTTTATCGAATGCATAATTTATTATTTTTGATGTACTGAAACAACTTTCGACTTTAATATCCATTTACGTTCGATATTAGACGTACTGTGTTTACCTGGACAAAGAAGCAATTTAAATTTAACATAATAAGGTTTAGATCGTCTGCTTTCTATCTAATTCTGATATATTTCAGTTATATAATATACGGAATACGGACATCTTAACATTTTCATGGACTTAGAGTTTAATATATCTTATTTTAGTAGACCGATTTTGCTCATTTTTTAAACAATTTATTGCTAAACTATTACCTAGTCTCCTTTTAATAAAAAAGAAACACAGTTGCTACAATACAGGGTGGCGCCTCTCATACGCCGCGGAGCCTCCAAGGAGAACGACAGTTTGTATTGAAATGAAATTTTGTGAGCATGTATGTAAGCTAATTTAGGGCACTTTTTAAATATATAGAGAGTTCTACAGGGTGTCCCCAAAAAAAGTTACATATCAAAGTTGTGTTTTTTGTAATAGAACACCCTATATATTAATTGATTTTCGGATTCTGAGAGAAAAATAAAGGTGAGTTTCATTAGGGAAGTAGATACAGTAAAACTTCCCATTTCGGCCACTTCTAAAAAGCGGTCACTTCTGTTAGCGGTCAATTTTCAGTTGTTTGAATTAATCTTAGGGGAACTCCTATATTAAAATATTTCTCAATAACGTTAATTCCGAAAGCGATCACCGGCCGCTTCAAAGGTACATTTTAGGGAAAACCCCATTAAATTTATTGCCCCAATACCGGCCAAAAACCGAACCCTTCGAACCTTTTTTTTTGTCTAACAAGAGCTGTTTCAGGACACTTTAGGAAATTCCAAGCAATAAACATTTATAATTTGTTTGAGAAGTAGGTACAGAGAGTGACAAATACAATACAAATTCGTCAGTAGTTTGCTGAAATTTTGGGAGATATAGAATCAGTTTAGTTTCTTACTCTGAAAGAACAGCAACCATGTCTTTGAAACGTAAACGTTTGTCTATTAAAGAGAAATTAAATATTGTCGCGGAAAGTGAAAAATATAACAGCAGTGCTCGAAAGTTGGCGGAAAAGTTTGGTGTTGGAAGAACGCAAGTGAACGACATTTTAAAAAACAAAGTGGAATTAAAAAAAATGTTTGAAGAAGAAGGATGCAATGCAGATAAAAAACGAAAGTTTCCTAAAACAGAAGGATTTGCAATCGATCAACTAGTTTACGAATGGTTTTGTAAGGCAAGGAACAAAAACATACCCATATCGGGAACCTTAATTCGGGAAAAAGCTCTTGAGGTATCTACATCCTTGAAACTTAGTGAATTTAAGGCTTCAACTGGCTGGTTAAATAAGTTTTGCAAGAGACATAATATTAACTTCAAAACAATTTGTGGTGAGTCTGCAGATGTGGATGAAGTGACTGTTGAAGACTGGAAAACAAAATTAACAGCAATCATTAAGGAATACGACACTAAAGACATTTTTAATGCAGACGAAACAGGGCTTTATTATATGGCAATGCCAAACAAAACCTTTGCTTTAAAGAATGATAAATGTGCTGGCAAAAAATCAGCTAAACAACGAGTGACACTGCTTTTCTGTTGCAGCATGCATGGTGAGAAGGAAAATCCGCTAGTTATAGGTAAGAGCAAAAACCCGAGATGTTTTAAAGGAGCGCATGTAGATAAATTGCCGATAGAATGGGTATCCAACAAAAAAGCTTGGATGACGACAGATATAATGACATCTTGGCTCAAAACCTTTGACACCAAAATGAAACGGCAGGGTAGAAAAGTTCTTTTATTTTTGGATAATGCCACGTCTCACCCAAAAATAGAACTTGAAAATGTTCGTATAATTTTTTTTCCTCCAAATACGACATCTCATTGCCAGCCGTTGGACCAAGGAATTATTCAAAATTTTAAATTAAAATATCGTCAATTTTTTATTAAAAGACTTTTGACTTTTACTAATACCGAAGAAACGATGGAAAAGGCTAAAGAGAGCATAAATTTGGCAAGTACTATGGTGTGGATAAGTACAGCATGGAAAAATGTTACATCGAACACTATAAAAAAATGTTTCCAAAAAGCGGGATTTGCAACCGTCAAAGGGGACGATGCATTTGACGAAGAGGACGACATTCCTTTAAGTCAGTTATCTTCAATTTTAAAAAACATGCCAGGAAGTCCAGATCTTAAAGAATATCTGACAGTCGATTCAGATGTCCCTACGGAAAATCCTAGTTTAGAGATGCAGGGAATAATACAGGAATTTACAAACAACAAGGACAGACAGGACTCCACTCAAGCCGAAGAGGAAGAAGATGAAGGCCAAGACATTCTGTGTTCATCTATAAATAATATGAGTGAAGTATGTGAAAAATTAAGAGACATTCAGAATTTTTTGGTGATTCAAAACAAAGACGAACTAGCGGTTGATATTGCCCATACTTGTAGCATTTTTTATTCCCTTTAATAAAATTGAATTTAAAAATCTATTTTTATTTAAATTTCTTAGTATTGGCGCCATCTATTTGCTAGATGCCAAAGATATCAAACTTCATTTCTTACAGTTTACTTGTCTTGTTTATTAGCGCCATCTATTCGCTATATGCCAAACTTCCTTAATTGCACTTCCCTTGTCCCGATATTTAATTTTTATTAGCGCATCTATTCGCTAGATGTCAAACTTCATTTATGACAGTTGGGTTTTCGTTTCTGAAACTGAGAAGAAGGTCTTTTTTTTCTGGGAATTTGGATCTGAAGGAGACGCGTGTTTCGGCGTCCGACAAATTTTCCAGTGAAAAGCACTGAATCCACTTTTCGATTTCGATTGCATGGGTATCCGATTCGGAGATTTGAAAACCTTGTAAAGTATGCAATCCAGAGTATAGATCGTATTTGTTTGGTTTCTTCTTGGAATGACCACCGTAAGTTTATCCGCTATTTTATATAGCCCTATCTAACTAAATTCTATTTCAGTTATTTCCGTTTGTTATTTCGTGTATTTGAGTATTTAATTACTGGTTTGGATCGGCATATGGTTTGAATATATTTATGCAAAGCTGATTTTCAGACCGTAAGTTGTTTCTTTTATTGAGTATCTGTCCTGAGAACTATTTTTTATTTATAGAGTAAAACTACCACATGATATTAAGTAAAACTACCACATGGTACTCAGTAATTACCACATGGTATGCAGTAATAATGCAGCAATTATTGTATGTTTCACCCATTTCATTTTGTATGGACCTATGCAGACCTTAAGACAGTGTTCCTGACATTACAATCGTTCTTTTGGCTGATATCGAAGACTTCTCCTGCCATAGTCATCTGTATCCACTTCTGTTAGTCTGGAGAATACCTAACTACCTGTTTACATCATAAGAAACTATATACAGATAAGTCTTAAGTTTGATACACAAGGTACGCTCTTATTTTATAATTTTTGAGACAACAGATTTAAAACCTGGTAAATTATCACTATTTATCCCACATATTGTAGTCAAAATTATTTTTTATTTAACGTTATAAGTTATAATTTGATTCGTACAGTACACTCTTACTTAGCTATGATATTTTATATGAAAATTATTAACACGTATTCATTTTAAAGGTTTTTGTACACGACATGTTTCGAAACATCATCGTATTGAGACATACATAAATTTCACCTGTTTTTATTAAGTAGCTTACTTAGTTCAAAGAATACAGTTACTAAATTCGAATCCAATTAAAATAACTTGCGGTTTTATTGGGATCACTGTGACTAATTCATGATACTTGTGTTCGTTTTCAATAAATGTTTAATGTAGGATAGTTGTTTCTGGCTTTTATTCCTGATAAACATAATAGACCCTTAATGCTGTTGATTACTTTATTTCAGCTATGTTGTGATATCGTATTTTTCTTTTTGGTTTCTTACTTTACCACTCTCATAAACAAAGTAAGTGGCGCCCTTTTCACTGTCTTTGACCATACCTATTAACATCAATATTAAAATCTCTGTAGCCTATATATTATCATTTTTTATTTTAATATTTAACAACATTAGAAAGTCACTGTGAGTCAGAAGCCTTACCTACGAACCCAGCTTTCCTCTAACCCTGAGCAACGGATTCTTTTTTCATTCTATTTGGGTAACGACAGAAAAGTCGTCACATACTTTGATGAAATTTGAAAGTGAAATTACAAAAATCAAAATTACAAATTTAAAGCAGACTACCATTAATCAGTTTTTCACCATATAAAATAAGGTTATCATTTTGTAACTTTTTAAAGTCAATTGTACATATGTATATAAAAATACCTATGTGTAAAATACATATGTATACATTGTAAGTTTTTTTTTCAAAAATTCTTATGTAATAAAGTTTTTTTTGTAACAACTGAATTATTTTTTTGTGCCAAAAATCTTAAACTGAAGATCATTTATTAACACTTATTGTGTGTTTGTACTACATGCTCGTACTTAATTTTAATTACTTTGCACGTTTCCAAAATAAAGGCATTTTACATTGGTATCTGTATTTTATTGTTCCCTATAGTGGCCACTTCCCTTAACGGCCACATTCCTTTGAAAATTTTTGTGGCCGCTATATGGAAGTTTGACTGTATATGACTAAAGTGCAAGGTTTTTGACATATCTAACATTTTCTAGAAATAAAGAACAATTTTTAAATTACAACAAAAGCTACCTAAATTGGAATTTACCCGGTATAGCCTAATATGTAACTAAATTAACTATTATACTTTAAATCAAATTAAAACTTGATCCAAAAAGTTATACAGGGTGAGAAAAAATTAATATTGAACATTGGTCACTTTTAAAAGCATGTTACTCTTTTATTTTAAATGGAACACCCAGTGTATTATTCCCATATTCAATGGATAATTTATGTCTCTTCAAAATACTATTAAGGTTGCCTATCCCTCAAACAAAGATTTTCCTAGATATTTTCATTTACATGATTTGATCTTTATTATTTGATAAAATGTAGGTGGCTGTGATATGTCTGACGTTACTTCAACATAGCTGTCTAATTAGTCCCACGTTAACAACTAGTTATCATTTTGTGTCAGTTAAAACAAAAAAATTTCTCGGAAATTTGCCGAAAACGCAACTTATCCTGTATACATTAGTTGGTTTTGAAAACAAAAGTCCTAAAAAAACTCTTCTGAAAAATATCAAAAAATGAGCTATGCCACTTCGTAAAATTTACGACGTTATGTCAGTGATGATAATAGGTATTAATTATTTCGATTCCAAAATATCTTAAGAACCACTCGTAGCGATTTTGCCAAGAGACCTTTTTAAAGTAAAGAACGTAGTAAATTTATATTTTTTTACTCAATAGTTTATATACAGGTACGAAAACTATATACTCTTCAAACTAGCTAAAAAATGTAGATGATGCCGTCTACGGTAGGAGTCATAATGACACCAAAATCAAATTTCCCATGTCAAAAAAATATTGACGATAGTTCAGAAATTATTTAAAAAAAACCAAAATAAAAATAAAATTTCTACACCCTGTATCTTCCAAACAAAGCATTTTAAGACATACATTTATACAAACTTTTTTACTTATTTTTATCTGCAGAATATGCTGCTACAATTTCTGAAATACAATTTGGACCACCCTGTATATAACAAAAACAAAATCATTAATTTATGTATGATTCTTGGTGTCATTCTATCACAGTTTGCATCACCAGAGAAAAACATAAAAGTTATTAGTTTAGTATTTATGTTTCCAGTATTTCGTAAATATTGCATTAATTAACTCAAAGGTAAGCGAGAATCACATACAGATAAATTATGAAAAAAAACTTAAATAGAATAAAATCAGAACATTACACATGTTTTCAGCATTTCTAAACTAATACTCAATAATGGTAAATGAGTTACTAGGTAAGAATATTATAAATATTACCCTAAATAGGAATATTATAGTTAAGTATTTATCTAAATAAATCAAAAGCGCAAAACCACATAGAGGTACCTACAGTACGGTCGAGACCGACATTTGTATGAAAATACACACAGTAGGTGACACGCACACGCAAAAATAAGTGTAGATAACCAATTGGTACTCAATAAGCTGTGATTAAACGTTTACCACTTTTGGTAAAAATAAGTTGAACCGACCGTTGGTGCTAGACAGTGATCTAGGTATTAGAACTCAAATTACCGCGATTACTAACGTTTTTTCATTATAAGCGATATTATTTTAACTCAATTTCGGATGCCCAGAAACATATCTAATGATTTTATGTGTATAGTTATCTTTCCAAAAAAAAAAAGACTTAAAAATAAGCGCCTTTCGAGAGTTATTTTACTCCACTAGACAGGAAAAGGCATATGTTTGATATTGTCAAAATTTAAATTTAGTTTAATTTTGTTCTGGTGTCCGCGGTACTGCCTCACATTTAGATAGAAAGGCGTGTGCCACATCCCGCGAGGAATCAGCGGAAGTGTAATGAGAGACTCCGAAGTGGTACCACGCTGTTGATTATTTTTGCTTAAAAACGTGTATTTTGTGTGTTAACAAGGCATCATTGAAGCCGGCCGGCTGGAGGAGAAGCAGTCTTTGTGGGGTGAGTCCAGTACATTTTAGTGTGAGATGACGATATATAATTTCTTTTATAATTGATTGTTTTTTTTTGTTCTTTCTTCGATAATTATGTTAATACTAGTTGAAGCCTGGCGCATCCGCCACGACATCAGAAAAAAATACTTTTTACTTTATTTTTTAATTAAATGAAAAACAAAAAATCCAGCGACGACAGTTTTTAGAAGAGCCAATTACCTATCTTTTAGTAAAAAAAGCAACGTTCTAGAGCAAGTCGTTACTTCAGTAGAGACGACACAGATAAACATTAGCATTTTATATATGTAGATAAAACAGCATACTTACTGTATCTCTTCAATTTTAACTATGTATTCGTGAATTGTATAAATGTATTTTTTTCAAAAAAAAAAATTAACATAGATTTTCGTGACAAGTAAATTGAAATTGTACTTTGTTATAGACACAACACTTATGAAGGCTATAATGTTAACCGAAACGTATGTTTTTTCTAAACCAAATAAAGATAATGAAAAACTTGGAAAATTTGATGTTCTTAAACCTTGTTTCTAAATACATATTCTAAAATTTTTGGTTTTCTTGGGATTTAGGTTCGGAAAAAATGCTGATTAAATTTTCATTTATTTAATGCTGATTAAATTTTCATTTATTTAATCAGCATTTTTCCCGAACCTAAATCCCAAGAAAATAAAAAAATTTAGAATATGTATTTAGAAACAAGGTTCAAGAACATCAAATTTTCCAAGTACCTATATAAGTTCTTGTCTACTGCAGTATTTATTATTTTTGAAATGCTCAAATTACTTTCGACTTCAACATCCATTCACGTAGCCTTTGTTCGATAGTAGACACAATGTGTGGATAGAAAAGCAATTTAAAAATAATATAAAATGATAGTAAACGCCTATTTTCAACACGTTTTACAATATATTTCGTATTGTATATAAAAAACTATAATTAGTTAGTTAGTTTAGTTTTATTATTAAATAAATTATTTGCCTATACTTGTGCCTGATTCTTTTGATAACATTTAATAATAATAAAAAAAAGAAAAATAAGCATTATAATAGTTCATATATATTTTTCGTATTTCTAAATAATGTCGTTAAATAATAACTGTAAATCATACACAAGTAAATTATGAAAAAAAATATTTCCCAGAAATAATTAAATTAACAAATAGAGAATATTGTCTGGGTCCAACTGGTTATTGATTTACTCTAAGACTCCTAGACAGATATTTTGTTAGAGTTAAGAACTAAATCAAAAATAAGTACAGTAATGTCCCCGGATTGTTTTTACAAGAGGAAAAACATTTTTATTATGCAGAGAATATATTTTGAGAAAAATGCATTCTTCATAAAAATGTTTGCTTGTTCTAAAATGGTTAATCCCATTTATACTTTTCCAAATTTCCATACCGTATTAAAGAAAATTTAAAAAAAAACATGAAAATAAAGTTGATTTTTCCTCAAGTCCTTAAAATCAAAAGGAGTTTCTATTCATTCTTTGAAAGATGGTTATTATTCATTTTGATTAACATCATATTTTTGCTGTTGTTAAAGTATCGAATTTTCCGATAGTTATTATTACCCTTTGTATAGCATTCAACTAAATGAATTGAACTATTATAAATGTTGGGCTTCTTTAAAATTTTAAAACAGCAAAAAATATGACGTTAATTATAATTCTATTAATAACAATCTATCAAAGGATGAAAGCGAAATTATATTACCATAGCAACCGTTTTTATTTTTAGGTTATATATTTTTTAATTTTATCTAAAACGGTATGGAAATTTGTAAACGTATAAACTAGATAAACCATTTTAGAACAAGCAAAATTTTCTATGAAGAATGCATTTTTCTCAATAAGTCCATAATAAAAAAGGTTTTCCTCTTGTAAAAACAATCAGGGGACATACTGTATATCTTAAGTTGTTAAATGTAGAGACAATGCATCTGAAAAAGATGATATAAGTTCACGTGGTATCTGTTCGATAGTAGATACAATATATTATATTCACACATTACATTCAGTCACAGTTTAAAGAATATAAATATATACAGTTGGCTCACTCTAAGGAATTCTATTGTTATTTTGACTTCAAAGGCGGCCCGTGACCCTTCGAGGTGACAAAAAATTTGTACGTTTACCGGGTGCAGCGGAAGTGCTATTTTATCAGTCAGAACGCTGGCCGTATACGAGGGATCAACTAAAAATACTACGGAATTTTAATATAGCAAGTAGAAAAATAAAAACAGTACTAGTTTTATTGATTAACAGTTTTAGGCGTCTTTAATAATTGATCAATATTTATTTACTTTCTTCTTATTATTATTTAATAACATATCTCATAAACCGCAAATTCTGATACGGTTATGATATTGTTCTGGTGTATAATTTTCATATCTGTGGGATCCTATAAATGCTAAGGCACTTTTCCAGGCTCCACACCTACAAGTTAATTTCCTTATCAGACTCTACTTATACATATTATGGTAAATACATTAATATTAAAATATTAGATATATTATTCTATCCTAATTCTTTGGAATATGGAATTGTCAATAGGGGAATTATTATTAATAATTATTATGGAAACCCCATATGAAAAATGTATTCTAAATAAATATAATAAGTTAATTTTTTTAATATATATAATAATATATTTGCATATTTCTTAAATTATAGCAT